TTTAGTTAAAATGTATGACAAAACTTAGGATCGATTTATGTTTTGCATAACAAATGCATAAAAACGATAGTTTAGCACAACTTCTATGAAATACATTAAAGAATATTATTATAATTCTTATGTTTATATCTATATATAACTCATGATTTAAATGCAAATGAATTTGATTTCCTGTCCGATAGTTAAGTCAAAAATAGCAATAATGTAAACGATTATTGATGGATAAAATGTGTGTATAAATTGCTTAATAAAATATAAAAATAATGATTTTAAATGTTATGGGAATTAAATAGAAAAGGAAACCGACGGCTCAGGCAAAAGGCAGGACCGGAATGTGTTTTTATTATACCTATCCATTCGTTTACCGATCAAACCCTTATCTCTCTCTTAAAAGTCACTCTTTATTGCCGTCAAAAAAGTACATCAAAGAAGTCAAACGCAAGAAAAACAGCAGCAAAACAAAGATTGCATATAAGGAGAGAGAGAGAGAGAGAGAGAGAGAGAGAGAGAGATACAACAAAACCACAGTTTAGTCCACGAAATACACGTTCACTGAAAAATAAAAGATAAACAAAGACTTCTTTTCCCACAATAAAACTCATAAGAAGTGAGAGAAAGAGAGAGAGAGAGAGAGAGAGAGAGAGAGAGAGAAGAGGAATTACTTCTTACAAAAGATATATTCTCACTTTTATAAGAGTTGTCTTAAGAAACCGGGAAAACTATATATAAATTAAAATTTCCAAAAACCCAAACAAACACTGAATGAATGGTTGGCCACAAGAAAACCACCCAAAAAAGCAAAACAAAAAATACTGGGAAGTAATTGGGAGACGAAATGAGTGAAAGGCGCGCACAGATACCTATCAGCGCGACAGTTAGAAAACCCAACAAAATCATTGCAAAATTAACGATAATAATAATACCCACAATAAAAACAAAGATATATCCAAATATAACACCAAAATATAGAGTATTATACATTTTATAGTTATAAAAAGTGTCGGGACTTAAAAGGGAGGTAGAGATAGACAAATGACAAGCCAAGCACTTACCACATGCTGATAATCGTGAGGCACTTCGTGGGCGGCAATACTCCATCGGCGCTCATCGCCGGGCACTCCGTAATTGTTGGTACCGTTGGTGGTGTCCATGAGTGGGGCTTCGGATGCGCTGCTACTGTGTCTCCTCAACATCATTGCCCGCCTGTACGCGGCCGACGTCGTCACCGACTGGTGGGACATCAGGTTATCGCTTCGGGACAGCCTTCGGGTTAGGGTTTGTGTGTTGTTTGCCATAAGAGACACCGATTTGGGGGACAGAGGGGTAGAGAAAAAAGACAGCACCACATGATTAGTGTTTGGTTTGCGGCTAAATGTTGTGCATATAGTATGTTATACTGTGTTTATGAATCGACTTATGATTTGCACTGACTATAACTGAAACACTTTTTTGTTAACTAGATTTTTATGAAGCGTTTAATTATGTTATCGTTATTAACGAATTCATTAACAAAATTATAGTCTCTCTCTCTCTTAAAAGTCACTCTTTATTGCCGTCAAAAAAGTACATCTAAGAAGTCAAACGCAAGAAAAACAGCAGCAAAACAAAGATTGCATATAAAGTCAGACAACACAATGTCTTGTGGTTTGTCTATGATATGTAACCTTTTTGAGTGAGTATTTTTTAATGTATTATTTTTAATATAATAAATCTCTCTCTCTCTCTCTCTCTCTCTCGTTTGAGCTCTTTTTGTTGATCATGTATTGACTTTTAATATAATTAAGACAATAATTTACAATATTCTCTCTCAAACGCTCCCTTCCTTTCATCTTATCATCAAATGTATACTTAAAGTAAATATTTTAATTATTGCTAGTTTTGAGACAACCATTTGTTTGTCTAAGACCTCCCGTGATTTCATAAAATGATGGTCTATTAAAGTTATAATTGTCCATTATGCTTTTCAAGCCAATTATAATAGCAAAATAGCCCAATCATTATATTATCGGTTTCTTTGAAAACATTCATTTTAATATTTTTAGTCTTTAAACCAATAATTATATTAATTTTATAGATTTTCATTAATGATTGTTTGGCTGTCGAGTGAAAGTATTTAATAGTCTATGAAAAGTGTATTTTAATATTTTGTGAGTTATAAACATAACACTGAACTAAAAAGGTTTACTAAATTGAATTACTTATAGACATATAATTCATAAATTTATATTAAATGGTGATTTATTACATAAAAATAATTATCGATTCCTTTAAAAAATAAATAAAAATAAATAAATTCGCGGAAAATTTGAGCTGTATTTCAAAATTATTCCATTAATGTAATTTTATATAATGGAAAATTTATAGTATTTTTATAATAAATATTATAATATATTTTCATTAATTCCAAATATATAATGTAAGTAGGATCAACTCAAATAAATTATAACTAAGCTATAATTATAAATTATAAAATTACTTGGCTTTTAACATTTATAATATTCTCTTTATAAAATAATGAGAGAGAGAGAGAGAGAGAGAGAGATTTATTATATTAAAAATAATACATTAAAAAATACTCACTCAAAAAGGTTACATATCATAGACAAACCACAAGACATTGTGTTGTCTGACGATTGTCTCATACAAACCAATGGTTTGATATTAAAGTCATATTTGAATATTCATAGCAAATAAAGTTACAATTTTGTAAATTAAGGCCAAAGAATCGATAGAAAGGCAAACATAAATGCATCGAAACAGTGGACAGAGAAACACACGTTTGAAACAAAATTAGGTTTTTATATTCACAACGAAATAGAGACACAAAAATTGTAATGTTTTTCACGACGAAATAATATTTATATATATTTCGAGAGACAAGTAATGCATCGGAAAAAATGAAAGAAACAATTGGTTTGTTGTTGAATATCAACACAAATAAGATTTTATGACATATTTTATTGATTTCAATGAAGAGAAACGTCTCGAAAGAAACACTCGAAACGCCAGTAATTGTGGAGAAAAATGTAAAAACTAATACTTCTTTTGCGATACAATAATATATATATATTATATGAATAGATATTTCTTGTGTGCAATAATACATTTGCAACAGAATCGAGAAATCGATAGTTGCTATTTATAAAACTAACCTTTCTTATAATTTTGCTGAACTTTGTTATTATCATTATAAATGAAATACACCGGTAATTATATACCATGGAAATTTTATTTCATACAAATGCTATTTCTTTGCTTTGAGTTTGTATTTAAAATTATCTCTCGTTATTATAATATGCTTTTCAACAACCATTTGAACTTCAATTATATTCCTATCAAACGTTATATTCATTTAATTATAAATTGATTTGTTTGAAAACATCATCTTTTTCTTTATCCACAGAAAAACATGAAAATTAAACCAATATATCGTAACAATTCTCAATATTTCTACTATAAATTACATTACATATTATTTGTAAATTGCATTTAACTTTGTTTTTGTTTCATTTTCACCATCAGTTTTTTTGGTGTATATTATTTTATCAAATTTATTATATCGTTTATAAAAGTCATTTCAAAGTCAAGACTTAATAAATGTTTGTTTTATTTCCTTACTATTTCAGTGAACGTGTATTTCGTGGACTAAACTGTGGTTTTGTTGTAATTTTCAGAGAGAAAACTAATTAAAGATAAGAGTTTGCTATCGATTTTCCACATCAACACCAGTAGAGTAGACATCAGTTATGTTTTATATATCTTTAATAACTGCACTGAAAAATAAAAGATAAACAAAGACTTCTTTTCCCACAATAAAACTCATAAGAAGTGAGAGAAAGAGAGAGAGAGAGAGAGAGAGAGAGAGAGAGAGAGAGACTTATTTCTTCCTTCCTTTTCATCTCGTTTTTGTGTCTATCATTGCAAATAACTGCACTGAAAAATAAAAGATAAACAAAGACTTCTTTTCCCACAATAAAACTCATAAGAAGTGAGAGAAAGAGAGAGAGAGAGAGAGAGAGAGAGAGAGAGAGACTTATTTCTTCCTTCCTTTTCATCTCGTTTTTGTGTCTATCATTGCATTCATAGTGTTTTGGATGTGATGTGCAAAAGAAATTAATTTATTAATTAAATGATATACTGATAATAGGTTTACGACTTCTGATATGAGAGAAATGATGACAGAAATATATACACAATTATAAACTACAGTATATCCATATTATATTCCCTCGATATACCTATCAGTTTGTTATATATGAGTATTATATAATTTTTATTTTTAAGTTTATAGTTATATTGTATGACTTATTAAACACACATCTCTTACGTAATAATAAATTAAACTAATGAACGATTTTTATATACCTTTTGACTTTAGCGACAATTCGCGTGTTTAGTAAAAATTCATTCATATATTTAAGCATTAAATTAATTGCTGGCAAATAAAATTCACAATAATTGCATTATTAATAATCGATGTCATTTCTTAGTGAACTAGATTGCAATCATAGCTCACAGTGTAATTCGTATTGATTTAAATTAAAATTTTAAATTTCTGTTTCTTAAAATAGTAAACACTGTATAAAAGTGTATAAAACTTTTGGATTATTCAATAGAGTATAAGAAGGGTTTGCATTAACGGCGAAGGACTCGTTGTTCATTGAGCCTAAAGCCATCTCTCACTTGATTTTCAAATAAGATGTTAGAGAGAGAGAGAGAGAGAGAGAGAGAGAGAGAGAGAGATGACTAATACAAACATTATCTGTTGAGAAGAAGGTTTTTGAACAGATTTTGACTAAAATCCGAGAAAACACTTCTCGAAAAACATACAAAAAACTCAACAGTATATTGAAATGAACGACACATTCATTTAAACAGCAAACATATTGACAGCGAAATCAAACGTGAATTGAAAAAAGCTTTTCAAAAGTCTGTTTAATACATAAGTCGATGAGAAGAAAATAAAAAAAAAAATACTTGCGATAAAAATAAGCAAATATTTACTTTTGATTGATTGAAAAATTTAAATTATTGATTTCGGCGCCGCTATCATCGCTGGGCTGGTCGTCACCGCCGAGTCCTCCGACACCAACACCGCCGACACCGACCCTGTCGTGAGGCACCGGTAGGTATCGGGTCATCGGCTTATCATTCATATCGTTCTCATCGCTGATCTCATTGTGATTGAGTCCGGAGTCGTTTCCGTCGACGTCCGGACAGTCGAAGGAGCTGTCGGTGGAGTCCTGTTGTTTGAATTGTTTGAATTTGAGCGCTTCGGGCGCTGTCTTGCTCTTCAACATCGCCTGCTCTTCTCTCTTGTAAATCAATTCATCAAATTTGTCCAAATCGTCGTCCCGTATGAAAGTCCGCAACCGATTCATCATTGAATACTGGGTTTACGTACAAAATCAGAGATTAATTTATTTTGTTTTGTTGTGTTTTTTTTGTGCAAATTATAATCAAAGGGTTTTGAGGTACAGGTTTGCGGTTTTCTTGTTGTTTAACAGAAGGGTGTTTACGGTATATAACAATAATAGCATTAAAATAAATTATTTATTTCTATTTTATCCCAAATTTTGATCTTATATTCAGTGGTAATAAAAGATGAAAACAGTATTTTAATGTCAAAATCAATGCTAAACTCTTGAACTCATTCTTCATGTTCTTATTGATGAACAAAACGTTAAATTTTTGGCTCAAAAATAATTATATTTTAAAACAAGTGTTATTTAAAATTTGTTACCAAAAACTGCACATAATTAGGAGAATCTATAGATTTTATAATAACTAAAACTTCAAATGATTTATTATATCAAAAATTTTAATTATAATAAAAGAGTTGTTTTGTATGTATTTATATTGTAAAGAGGAAGAGAAGGGTTGGGCTGTAATGTCAAGTGTGGTTCATATTTCATATACAATACCAGTAATTATATGTTCACAATATGTATCACAACCTTATGTTTAGAGTCAATATCGCTATAAATCCTTTTTTGATGCCTTCATAATATTGTTATATAATAATGAATTTCTATACACTTTATAGCAAACTATAAATTAAAGAGTAGACAAATAATAAGTCATTATATTTTTTATAAAAATTTTTTAAAAAGTATTAAAAATCATTTAATAAAGTCATTAATAAAGTCGATAACAACATAATTATAATGAATTAAATTATTTCAATTAATTATTAACTAAACATTTACTTCAGATATCACTTAATTAATTCATTCACTGAAAATGGTCTTTTTATTAAACTCTAGATTTGTAATATAGACTTAAATTATGTGCCAAAAAATCATTACTTCCTTCCCTGTAATGGTCTCGACATTTGAAATAATACACACATCAGGAAAGTGTTCATCAATTTTGATGATGTCTTTGACAATTGATTGTCAAACGGATAATCATTTTCCACACCAAAAGACTAATTGAACACAAAAAGTGTTAATTCTGTGAATTCTGTGCTATGTTTTTGTTTTGTGCTTCGCTTTGAATTAATTTACTTCAAGAATGACTTTTATAAATGACTTTTCATTACATAAACGCTGAGAATCGGGAAATATAATTGTAATAATAAGAGGAAAACTGATTTATCGTAAACGCTATCTCTCGGGACATATGTTTCTGTAAACGACACGATTTGCGAGTGAGAGGCAAATATTACTAAATTTAATATTCAAAGTAATAGTTTGGGTTATCATCGCAACTAGAATATCACAAAACAACTTAATTATATATCATCTGTTGATAAATTCATTAAATTTCTCTCTCTCTCTCTCTCTCTCTCTCTCTCTCTCTTTAGGCTTAAGTGAACTCAAAGCCAGAGTTTATGCTTTCAATTAAGGAATAGGTTTAGAGACTGAGAGAAATCTATTAATTCTCAGCGAAACAAAACTTATAGTAAACCCAATCGTTGTCTTCT